GGGAAAATCAACATCTTAACAGTCATGAATCTTCTGACCCACGAACATGAGATATTGCTCCAATTATTTAGGTCTTCTTTAATTTCTCTTAGCAATCCTTTTGAGATTTTTCAGCTTAATATACACTGTAAGTGTTAAGGGTGGGAAATCCTATTATGGTAATCCAAAGGTAGGGCCTTGATTAGATTGTAGGACTGTGCAGTAGTGAATGGATTAATAATGATGATCAGGGGTGTGGTTCTGAGGGCTTTAAAATGAGAGTACCTGAGGAACTATCTCTCTCTGCTCTGCCATTTTCTGCCATACGAGACCCCTAGGTCACTGTTCATCACCAAGACCCTCACCAGCTGTGTTCCTTGGACTTTGTACTTTCCAGCCTGCAAAACTGTAAGCAATAAATTTTGTTTTATTTATAAATCACCCAGTTTCAGGTATTTATGTTATAAGCAACAGAAATGGACTAATACAGCTGCTGAATGTGTATTTCTCATTTTGGGGTTTAATACTGTCTGGCAGAGGGTTTCTGGGTGTCTCCCATCATGTGGAGACAGGCAATATTTTCTTTNGGGATTGGAAAGCTGTGTGCAAATAAAATTAATCTTGATCCTTCCTGTTGTAGCTTTTTGCCTCATTTTTCCTTTGGTATTTAATAAAGTCTCTGAGATTTTCAACTTTTCTTATCTGGGCCAGTGGGAATCAAGGGAAAATACTTTTGATTTATATTGACAGCATCATTAAAGGGAGTGTGATCCAAGAGGAAGATACATTTCAGGGGCAAAGGTGTTGCTTGGTTGACTGCATTCCCCACCTATAAGAAATACTTCTAGAGATAAACTTTTGAGGTTGTGAATTTTACTATATATGGATAGGGGAGTAATTTTCCATGACAAGGCTTTTTACTGCCCTCTCTCTTCCCCATTCTTCTCCAACAAATACCCTATCTCATTTTTGTAGAACCTTGATCTCTAATAGCTGACAGCTAATGATTAAGATATTAATTGAAAGAAAACTCAGGGGGTTTCTCACTCAAAAGTGTATTTGCATTTCAATTGAGAATGCTTAGAGACTAAAAGGTATTCTGTGCTTAAGGAATTAATACTTAATGGCAAACTTTCAGATAGAGGAAAATCTTTGGGGGACTGGGATCCTGCCCAGTGCTTCTCAAATTGTATCACTGTGCCTATATAGATCTTTANGGGGACTGGGATCCTGCCCAGTGCTTCTCAAATTGTATCACTGTGCCTATATAGATCTTTATACCAATATATGAAAGGTCTTCAAAAAGTTCATGGACTGATTCATAATATCTTTTAATTATATTTTTCCAAACTTTTAACGTACCCTAGTACATCTTTCTTAACTTAGCCCAATCTGGTTTTTGAATGTACTGTTCAAAATTAAAACTTAAGATGATTATTTTGGAGAAATTTTACCTATGCAAAGTAAATCTATCAACTTAGTCTGAAAAAAATGATTAACTACCTATTTATGGTAAACATCTATAAAGTATACATTTATTTGTCAGTGAGTTAAAGCTAAGGTGAAATGCCCATAAGATACATATGTGAGTTGGTGTGCTGTCATGGTTCGTAATACTGTACTGGATTTGGCTTATAACATGTGCAAAACACACATTCCTAAACCAACATAA